CGATTTCTATTTATTTAGTTGCTTTTTTTGGGACAATATCGTAGTGTTTGTATATTTCCTAAGTTTTAGTAAGTTAATTAAGCTTTTAATCACCAAAAACAACTTAACTTGTCGATATTCATTGGAAGGAGAATTAAAATGTACAGTGTTTGTAGATGAAATCAAAAAGATTTGGAAAAAATACTATCGAATATTGACAAGCGAACATTGTAGTTATAAAGACACATGACAAGTCTTGATGTTTCTAAGAAAATTCAGAGGGAGGTCAAAGTTATTTGTCCTTAATTCTGGATTTTATCTTAAAATGAATTGTCTGGCTGATATGCTGTTTGCAAGAATCAGCATAAATAATCAGTAATTAGTATGATAAGTTACCAATGTTTCTTCGTGATTTAGTATGTCGAAACAGATTAAGCCAATGCAGTATCCTTGGGTTTTCCACAAGAAACCCGTTTTCGTACTGAATTCATGAAAGAAAAGTTTAACTCACAACTCCTAGTCGGGGATACTGGTGCCATAATATGACATGCAGGTGGTGTTACAATTGAGCTTTTTTTAGTGTAAATTTACTCAGAAAAAAAAAGGCAAATTGGCAGCAGACAGAAGTAATTAGTAGAGAGTATAGATCAACCTCGTACATAAAACTATCCTTGTCATTCACCAAAATGTCCTCAGAATTTGAATCCCATGTCTACGGTGGAATGGATATAAGAAAGGGCGGGAGGAAAAAAAAAAAAAAAAAAAAAAAAAATATATATATATATATATATATATATATATATATATATATATATAGATGGAAGGGCGCTTAAGAGTCTTTTCTGCTATTTTTTTAGTTGATTGATTTTCAGGATTTGCATTTTTTCTTTGGGGTAAAAGGATAGAATTCTAAATTGTCCATATATCACCAGACCTTTCCAAGAACACGCTTTAGGTGTACCGTAGAATTATGCCTGTTGCATAACTTGCCGTAGAGTTAAATTTGTTGCATAAACATACAATTTCTTTTTATATCCATCATAATTTCACACTCCTATCCTCTTGATTAATCATTCCTCTGATCCTTATTTTGCTCTGTATGGTGTTTTTTTTTTTTTTTTTCCGTGTGACTTTATACCCAGTGGGAATCCTTGGCGGTACGCAATAAAAAAAATGAACCCCCCCCCCCCCCCCAAAAAAAAACCAAAAAAAAAAGGTCAATTAGCCTCCACGGCAAAATAGATTGGACTTACCAACTAAGCAAAAATCCTATGGCTATATATACATGCATATATCTAAAGTTTGAATGATTGAGTTGTCAACTTAGTGTTTAACAATCAAAGCTGAGACCCCCTAATGGCCAAGGCAGGAAGCCATCTCGTTCTTCTCTATTATTTCTTGCTTTCTGCTCTTATTTTGAGCTGCCAATGTCAAGAAGGAAAGGTTAGACGAAAACTATTATGGATGTATTTACAATTTAATATATATATATATATATGTAGTTTCATGTTGGGTTTTTCGTAAGCCTGATTTTAAATGGTTTATACAGGTTCATATTGTTTACTTGGGAGACCTGCCACATGGTCGAGGGCAAGCTTCAGTCGTTTCTGGGCACTACGCCATTTTGACAAAGAAAAAATACCGATTTTCATCCCCAAACTTTGGGCACAAGACACATTTCGTCCCTCATCTTTCGGGCATGACACATTTGGTGTCTGAATTAACAATTTTTGACCAAATGTCATCCTCAGACGGCAATTTAGCCAACCTTTAACGGACCGTTAAGTAAATGTGGCTATCTGAAGCAAAATCAGGTGAAAAATGACGTTGTCTTCACTTTCCCTTTTTCTTTCACTTCAACAACTTCCTCTGCAAATTTCCAAGACTAAGCTCCTACTGCAAATTTCTCTGAGAGTAAACCCCCTCTTCTAATTATAAATATATAATACATATAAATATTACTTAAACTAATATTTTATATAATTATAATGTATATTAGATATTAAATCTAATCATTATATAAACTTATATTCATAATAATAAATATAATTATAATTATCTAATTTATTAATATTATATACACATATATATTATAAGGGATAATTTCAGAAACCTCCCCTAAATTAGCTTATGGAAAAATGGGAAAATGGATAATTTATGGAGAAAAGCCATAAAGAACTGTGTTTTATTGGAGAACTGGTTTATTTTTATTTTATCCGATAAATAAATTTGTTTATGAAAAAATAGATACTCTGTTCTTATAATAGAGGAAAGCCATAAAGAGCTGAAGTTTTATTAGAAAACGAGTTTATTTTTATTTTATTCGATAAATAAATATATTTATGGAAAAATGGGTCTCTGTTCTTATAATGGAGGAAAATTCTAAAGAGCTAGTCTTTTATAGAAAAGTGATACTTTATAGAAAGTGACCGCGATTTGGTTTATGAAATTATCCAAAAAAAAAATTAGAATGAATTTGTTTATTTAATTAAATAATTATTATATATATATTTATATAATGCATTATATAATTTTACTAATATTATTATAAAATATATAATTATAACTATATTATATATAAATATTAATTATACTAATATATTATATGATTATAAAGTATATTATATATTAATTATAATTTTTAGTATATATTAGTATATTTATAATAATAAATATAATTATAAATATATAATATATTATTACTATATACACATATATATTATAAATATATGCACATATATATTATAAATATATGCACATATAATATACATTTATAAATATATATATAAATATATTATAGTTATTACCCTAAATATATTAGAGTTATTAGAGTATAGTTATTATAGTTATTATAGTTATTACCCTAAATATATTATAGTTATTAGGGTATATACCCTAATAATATATTTATATATATTTATAAATATATATTATATGTGCATATATTTTAATATATATGTCTATATAGTAATAATATACTCCCTTCGTCCCATTGAAAGTGTCATGCTTTCCTTTTTGGTCTGTCCCAAAATTAATGTCACTTACTATAATTGGCAATAAAACTTTCCCTCATTTCCATCTCATGCCCTTAAATATACCAGATTCCTTTTAAGTTTTTGATGGGTCCCATAAAACTACAAGAGTTGCTCTAATATACGTGAGACTCACCGCAAATGCAAACAATGGCCGTGCAAGCTACTTTCTCAAAAAAATGGCTAGACACATTTGTAAAGTATGGGCCCCACACATCTTATCATCCTTGCTTTTTCTTTCTGCCACTCAATGGAGTAATGCACGGAAGGGTAGCGCTGGAACTTAGACCAAAATGCGACACTGTTGAAAAGAAACTCAAGACCCGAAATGCGACATTCATTTCGGGACGGAGGGAGTATTATATAATTATATTTATATTTATTATGATAAATATACTAATATATACTAAAAATTATAATTAATGTATAATATACTTTATACTCATAAAATATATTAGTATAATTATATAATGCATTATATAAATATATATAATAATTATTTAATTAAATAAACAAATTCATTCTAAATTATTTTTTTGGATAATTTCATAAACCAAATCACGGTCACTTTCTGTAAAGTATCGCTTTCCCATAAAAAACTAGCTCTTTAGGGCTTTTCTCCATTATAAGAACAGAGTGCCCATTTTTTCATAAATAAATTTATTTATCGAATAAAATAAAAATAAACTCGTTTTCCAATAAAACTTCAGCTCTTTATGGCTTTCCTCTATTATAAGAACAGAGTACCCATTTTTTCATAAACAAATTTATTTATCGGATAAAATAAAAATAAACCAGTTCGCCAATAAAACACCAGCACTTTATGGCTTTTCTCCATAAATTATCCATTTTCCCATTTTTCCATAAGCTAATTTAGGGGAGGTCCTGGAAATTATCCCTTATAATATATATGTGTATATAATATCAATAAATTATATAATTATATTTATATTTATTATTATGAATATAAGGTTATATAATGATTAAATTTAATATCTAATATACATTATAATTATATAAAATATTAGTTTAAGTAATATTTATATGTATTATATACTTATAATTATATATTTATAATTGGAAGAGGGGGTTTACTCTGGAAAAATTTGCAGTAGGAGCTTAGTCTTGGAAATTTGCAGAGGAAGTGAAGACAACGTCATTTTCCACCTGATTTTGCTTCGGTTAGCCACATTTACTTAACGGTCCGTTAAAGTTTGGTTAAATTGTCGTCTGAGGATGACATTTGGTCAAAAATTGTTAATTCAGACACCAAATGTGTCATGCCCAAAAGATGAGGGACGAAATGTGTCTTGTGCCCAAAGTTTGGGGATGAAAACCGGTATTTTCCCTTTTGACAAATGTGCTTGGAAGGTTTTTTTTTAAGCACTAACTAAAAATAGTATCTCTAATACTAACCAACTACAAAAATTGGAATTGCTTTTATTCGTGTGCTCTGGTAGATCAGCAATAAGAAAACAATGCTGGCTTAGTATATATGACTAATATGGATTGGTTTTTCCTTCACATAAAATTGCAACCTTCAAGTGTTAAAAGGATACGTCTAATTAATAATAATAGGGAAATCCTACTCTAAAAACAACATATGACTTACTTCTTAATTTTAAAGGTTCACGTATTTGTATCCATATTTTTAGTTGTTTTTTCATAGCTGAACTCTTGATAATAATGAAAAATGCTATAGTTTCTTTTGGGTACGAAATCCATGATTCTAATTTATTTACTATATCTTATCACATCTTTTAGTGATTTAAACTTTGAAAATAATCTAAGGATTGATAATTCTTATTCTATATGAAACAGTGAATTTAATGTCATCGATACAGTACCGAGAAGGGATCGTAGAACACTCCAATAATAATAATAGCATCTTAATGCCACAAACTAGCTAGAGAAGAAGAGTTCGGTTGTATGCTTCGTTACAAACTATTCCAACACAAAAAAAAAAGTAATGCATAAAAAGAACATGCAATGTGTTCGAAATGGTAGGCATGATTTATATCATTTGATGCCCATTTTTCGTAACTCTCATCATGCATTGCATTTAAAAACAGAAATAATTGGATTCTTAATCATCGCATTGATCCCTTTTATGTTAAAATGTTATTAATTAGTCAATTAATTGTTTTCCAGAGAATTACTGACTCTTCAATTTGTTTAACTCCAGTGCCTCATTAGCCAAGCAGTCACTGGTTCATAGTTACCACAGAAGTTTTAATGGATTTGCTGCAAAGTTAACCCCAGAAGAAGCTGCGAGAGTTTCGAGTAAGATATCATTTATATTACTATAACCTAAAAAAGAAATGGAAAAAGAAAAAGCATTAGAGCTTGTGTATATGGTTATATAGTTAAAATACATACCTATAAATCATGTGATCGCAGAAATGGATGGAGTGGCATCGGTCTTTCCAAACCGAATTTTCAACCTTCAAACAACGAGGTCCTGGAATTTCATGGATTTCGGCACTGACAAATTTGGACCTGCACAAGAAGAAGACGTGATTGTTGCACTTCTGGACACTGGTAAATGATCTTCTCAAGCTTATGATTCTTGTAATTTGAATTAATCGTTCGCTCATTTTTCTGAGGTGCAATTTTGGTGGGCTTCTTTTTGTAGGCATCTGGCCAGAGCATGAAAGCTTCAGTGACGCAAACTTTGGCCCTCCACCAGCTAAATGGAAGGGAACATGCAAAGCTACTAATTTCACTTGCAACAAGTATCCATTCCTCCAGTGACATTAGTTCTTTTTTTTTTTTTTTTTGGGGGTTGGCTAGCTGATCCAAGTAAATTGTGTTGGTGATGCAGGAAACTGATTGGAGCTCGTTATTATAATAGCGAGAACATCTATGATAAATCCGACATCAAATCACCAAGAGACACGATTGGACATGGTACCCACACTTCCTCGACTGCTGCAGGCCGAAAGATTGAGGGAGCAAGCTATTTAGGCCTTGCAGAGGGTGTTGCAAGAGGTGGAGTTCCCAATGCCAGGATTGCAATGTACAAAGTCTGCTGGTCCTATGGATGTTTTGCTGCAGATATCCTCAAAGCTTTTGATGACGCAATTGCAGATGGTGTTGATATCATATCTGTTTCCTTGGGAGCTACTGGTGTGCAAGACTATTTTCAAGATCCCATTGCAATTGGATCCTTTCATGCTATGAAACATGGCATTCTGACCTCAAATGCAGCAGGAAATTCTGGTCCAAATCCTGTATCCGTCTCCAACTACTCACCATGGTCGCTAACGGTTGCTGCTAGCACTATTGACCGTAAATTCATAACTCAAGTAGTCCTGGGTAATGGACAAGTTTTCAATGTAAGTCTCAGTTTCAAATTTAAACATGTCGGTTGTGACTAGGGAAATTTGGATTTTCTTTTTTTAATTCTACTGCACAAATTATGAAGGGAATTGCCATTAATAACTTCAACATCACGGGTAATGGGACGTATACATATCCTTTAATCTGGGGAGGAGATGTAGCCAACTACACTGGTGGTTATGGTCCATTGTATGGAAGCTATTGCTTACCTGGTGCCGTGAATTCTGAGAAGGTGAAAGGAAAGATCGTCTTCTGCAGTGCCTTAGTTGATGGTTTTGGCATTCTGCTTGCTGATGGTGTGGGTGCCATATTGACGGATTATGCATCATCCGATGTTGCCTTCAATTTCCCACTACCAACATCAGCAATCAGTCCAGAAGATGGTGTAAAAGTTTTGGATTATATAAAAAATACAGTGTACGAAATTAGCATCTTTATACTTTATAACATATGTAATTACCCTCTTGACTTGATACTTAATTCTGTTCTTGGGTCCAAACTTACTTGAAATGCTTGCAGAAATCCACTTGCAACTATCTTGGTTGCTGATACATTTAAGGACGTCTCGGCTCCACTCGTGGCGTCGTTCTCTTCAAGAGGACCAAATCCCATCTCTCCAGACATTCTTAAGGTAATCATCGACTAAGAAATGTGTCTATTTTCATAGAATAGAATCATAGATTGCTCAATTAGTTACACAATAGTCTTAACATGTGTTCCGTTCCATTTATTCATCACTATAACTAGCCTGATGTCACTGTAAAGGTTAACAGTAAGGAATGTTGCAGAGGAAAGAAGAAGTGGAAGGAATTCTCTGTTATTGAATGAGAAATATTTAGGCTATAAATAGCCGTACAAAACAAACAGAAAATACAATAAATAAGGAGTCTCCTGCTAACTAACTCCTAAACAGAAAGACCTATTCTAAAGCAGAGAATCCCAAACGCAAAGGGATTTTATTTACTGGCTAACATTGACTAAATCTAACAATTCCTCCCTTAAACTAAATGCTGAAAGAATTTAGTTTATACTGCTCTCTGCACAAACTCCAAGCATAGTACGCAGCTTCAGAAAAGCATCCAACTTAAGAGGCTTTGTCATCACATCAGCTATTTGTTCCAAAGTATTGCAATGAACTAGCTCTATCATACCTGTCTGTGCAAGTTCTCGAAGGAAATGGAAACGAACATCTATATGCTTGCTATGACCATGCATAACTGGGTTTCTTGAGAGCTCGATTGCAGAGCTATTGTCACAGTGGATAGTATTTTTCTCTTGCTGAGTCTGATCCAGCGTTTTGAGCACTCTTTTTAACCAAATTGCTTGACAAGCACAAGCAGCAGCAGCAATAAATTCAGCTTCGGTGGTAGACAGACTCACAATAGGTTGTTTCTTAGAAGACCATGATACAGCTCCGGAACCGAAGAGAAAAACATAGCCTGATGTACTTTTTCTATCATCCAAGTCACCCGCATAATCACTATCAGTGTATGCTATAAGATCATCACTTCCTCCCTTCTTATAGAAAATTTCATACTCAGTTGTTCCTTACAAATACCTCAACACTCTCTTTGCTAGTTGTAAATGAAGCTGAGTAGGATTCTCCATATATCCGCTCAAAAGACTTACTGCAAACATCACATCTGGACGAGTTGCAGTCAGATACATAAGACAGCCTACAAGTTGTTTGAAGTGAGTCTTGTCCACCTTAATTCCTTCTTCATCCTTGCAAAGCTTGAAACCAGGAACCATTGGAGTTTGAACAGAATTGCTTTGATTCATTTCAAAACGTTGCAACACTTCCTGAGCATACTTTCTTTGACCGATAAAAATTCCACTTGATTTCTGCAAGACTTCGAGACCCAAGAAATATTTCATTTTACCAAGATCAGTCATGTCAAACTCATTCTTCATCGAGTTCTGAAACTCAGTAAACATCAACTCATCATTTCCTGTGAAAAGAATATCGTCAACATATAAACTTACAATAAGCATGCTACCCTCCATGTTTCGTTTAACAAAAAGGGTATGCTCATAATCACATTTTTGAAAACCTTCCTTCATGAAATATGTTTCAATACGGCTGTACCAAGTACGCGGAGCCTGTTTAAGCCCATAAAGAGCCTTCTTCAGCTTGTACACCTTTTCCTCTTTTCCTTTTTGAATGTAACCACACGGCTGCTCAACAAAAACATCTTCAACTAGTTCTCCATATAAAAAAGCAGACTTCACATCTAATTGATGAATAGTCCACCCTTTTTGTGCTGCTAGAGCGATCACCAATCGAACAGTCTCCATACGGGCCACTGGAGCAAACACTTCTGTGTAATTTATACCATATTGCTGTGCATATCCTTTTACAACCAGCCTCGCCTTAAACTTGTCGACTTCTCCCTTCTCATTAAGTTTCGTTTTGTAAACCCACTTGACTCCAACTATTTTGACTCCTTTTGGTCGATCGATTAGTTCCCATGTGCCATTTTTCTTAATGGCTGCAATCTCAGCATCCATGGCATTTCTCCATTTTTCACTCTTCACTGCTTCTTCATAATTAAGTGGATCGGCACCCACTGTATATGAGGCAAAAAATGCTGCCTCTTCAACAGACAAACCTTCACCTGAAACATAGTCTTGCAACCAAGTTGATTGCTTCCTACTCCTCCCTTCCACAGGATCTGGAGGAGTTTCTTGATTAGTGGTAAGAGGCTCCTCTAACCGTGTGTTAGCAGTATCTTCTTCTACAAGAGATTCTTCAGTCACTGCCTTTTCATCATCTTCCCATTCCAGCTCCCAAGTAACAGCTGATTCATGTTGCTTATCCCATTCCCATTCTTCACATTCTTCAAAAACTACATCTCTGCTCACCACAATCCTTTGTGAGATAGGATCGTAGAGCCTGTACGCCTTTGATTCCTCGCTAACTCCCAGTAGAACACATTTCAAGCTTTTCCCATCTAGTTTAGTTCTTGAGCTGTCAGGCACGTGAGCATAGGAGATACAACCAAAAATTCTGAAATGTTCAACTGATGGCTTGATTCCGCTCCAGGCTTCTTCTGGTGTTTTGTCTTTTACAGCCAGCGTTGGACTACGATTTAAAACGTGCACAGTCCAGTTTACTGCTTCTGGCCAGAAAGTTTTGGGCATTTTCTTTTCAGATAGCATGCTACGAACCAAATTCATGATGGTCCGATTCTTCCGTTCTGCAACGCCGTTTTGTTGTGGTGAATATGCAGCTGTCAATTGTCTTTGCACTCCATGTTCTTTGCAGAAATTGTTGAATTCTCAAGATGTAAACTCTCCATCACGATCCGTACGCAACATTTTTAGAGACATATCTGTTGCTTTCTCAACATGTATCTTGAAGCTCTTAAAGATGGTAAAAGCTTCTGATTTTTCTGCCAAAAAATACACCCATGTTTTTTGACTAAAATCATCAATGAAAGTAATCAAGTACCTTTTCTTGCTATTCGAGGCTGGCTTAATTGGTCTGCAAATGTCGGCATGAACTAGCTGCAGAATCTGAGATGCTCTCCAAGAACTTTTCATTGGAAATGAATCTCGATGTTGCTTCCCCACAAGACAATCTTTGCACAGCTTCGAGGGCGGCTTAAGTAATGGTAGACCTTTCACCATTTGTTTTTGCTGCAAAATTTGTAAGCCTTTGAAGCTTAAATGCCCAAACCTGCAATGCCATAGCTGCGCTACATCCTCTGTGACTGTGTTAAAACAAGTGGGTGCTATAGGCAAAGAGATGGCATACAAGATGAACATTCGATTGGCAGACATATTAGCTTTCATGATCAAACCTTTGTCAGGATGATATATTTTGCATTGCCCTTGTTGGAATAAAAGGCTCAGCCCCTTCTCTTGCAATTGGCCCAGACTCAACAGATTATTCTTCAATTCCGGAACATAAAAGACTCTTGAGATGATGCTAACAACTCCATCAATTTCCAATCTGATGTTGCCCTTCCCATTGACCACCATGTTTGAATTATTTCCCAGCTTCACTGAATCTGTGAATTTTTCATCAAAATCTGAAAAATATTCCCTTTTTCCACTCATGTGATTGCTGCACCCAGAGTCAAGAAACCACATGTCTGTTTTGTGTTGTTTCTTTTCTTCAACGTAAGCCATCAGCAGCATGTGTTCTTCACTCTCCACTTGGCTCTCTGTAAAATTGGCCACTCCTTTCTTGCATTCCCACTGAAAATGACCAAGCTTGTGACAAGCATAACACTCCACAGTTGCTTTGTCAAAGCTTTGTCTGTTTCTTCCACGGCCTCTGCCTCCAAAGCTCCCACGCCCTCTTCCTTGTCCTGCATATTGGTTTCCATGGGTCACCTTCAGTGCATGTTCTTCATGTACAGTGTTACTCATGCGTTGTTCGTGCACGAGCAAACTACTTTGCAGCTCATCAATTGACAAAATACTTGTATCTTTAGATTCTTCAATTGAACAGACGACATAATTAAACTTAGGTGTCATTGACCTCAGAATCTTTTCCACAACAGCAACATCTTTCAATTCTTCACCATTGGCTTTCATCTTGTTGGTGATGACAAGAACACGAGCAATGTACTCATTCACAGATTCTCCTTCCTTCATGTGAGCAATTTCATACTCCTTTCGCAATGCCTGTAGATGAGCACGTTTTACTCGCGTTGTTCCTTGATATTTCTGCTTCATAGAGTCCCAAATACTCTTTGACGTACCTTTGTTGACGATAGTCTCCAAAATGGAACGATCTAACGCCTGAAACAGATAGTTCTTAGCTTTGAGATCCTTCAACGTCTGCTCTTCACAAATTTTCTTTTGTGCCTCAGTTAAAGTCACACCCTCTGCTGCTGCAGAAACTCCATTTTCTACCACATTCCAGTACTCCTTTGATCGAAGAAAATTTTCCATAAGCATTGCCCAATGATCGTAGTGACCATCGAACCTCGGCACTACTGGTTGAACAAAGGCACTCTCTGTTGCCATTTTCGTTGCCTGCACTCCCTTAGAAGACTGCTGCTTCTGCCTACCGAGCCTCTTGCAAGGCTCTGATACCAGATGTAAAGGTTAACAGTAAGGAATGTTGCAGTAAGGAATGTTGCAGAGGAAAGAAGAAGTGGAAGGAATTCTCTGTTATTGAATGAGAAATATTTAGGCTATAAATAGCCGTACAAAACAAACAGAAAATACAATAAATAAGGAGTCTCCTGCTAACTAACTCCTAAACAGAAAGACCTATTCTAAAGCAGAGAATCCCAAACGCAAAGGGATTTTATTTACTGGCTAACATTGACTAAATCTAACAGTCACTGCCCCTGGAGTGGACATCCTTGCTGCTTGGTCTCCAATTGCTCCACCTTCGGTCTATACCGGCGATAAGAGAAGTCTTTACTACAATGTGATCTCCGGGACATCCATGGCAACCCCTCATGCTAGCGGTGCAGCTGCCTATGTCAAGGCTGCTCACCCGGATTGGTCCCCTGCTGCCATCAAATCCGCCCTCATGACCACATCTTTTTCTATGGATCCAAGGCAGCAAGCTGATCTTGAATTTGCATATGGTGCTGGTCACATCAACCCTGCAGGTGCAATCAACCCTGGACTAATCTTTGAGGCTGACGAGGAAGATTATGTAAATTTCCTATGCAAACAGGGGTACAACAGCACCACTCTGAAACTTGTCACAGGGGATAATAATACTTGTACAGGTATAGTTCCTGGAAGAGGCTGGGATCTCAACTATCCCACCATGGCATTGTTCCTGGAAGATGGTCAGGAAATCAATGCAGTTTTCACGAGAACAGTGACTAATGTTGGCAAACCGTCGACCTACCATTCCTTCGTGTACTTATCGCAATCAACTATATTTGAGGTTACACTGGAGCCATCCACCCTTCTATTCTCTTCTGCTGGGGAGAAGAAATCGTTCACCGTTAAAGTAACTGGACCGAAGATTACACAGCAGCCAATCATGTCAGGTGCTGTGGTTTGGGAAGATGGTGTTCATGAGGTGAAGATGCCTCTGGTGGTCTACAACTATATTCCCCGAGCACCTTATGGTCTTGGTGATCATCAGTCTACTGACTCCAGTGCAAAACTCAGTGGGGGAAAACCCAATTTCCCAATTTCTTCTAAGTTGCAGAAAAGTAGGATTAATGCACTCCGCGGCTGAGAATCACATGCCCTATTCATTTCATCGTGCTTCTATGTTATGTTTGTACATTTTGTTTATGCATTCTCCTAGGTGTTATGTTCTTCCGACCTGATTAAATTAGTAATCAGTGGAATTATTGTCAACCAACTAAAGTTTCTAAAAAGCCCCCCAACTTCCACCCTACCCCCTCTCCACCCTTTTTCTTTGAAATTTTATTTGGGGCAATGATTTGCTCATCCAGTATAGTATAGCATCAATATGGTGGAAGCTCAGCCTACTCAACTAAAAGATGGGGCTAATGCTCAATGTGAAACTAGACGAGGTAGAGTTTAGACTTAAAAATAAGGTCTAATTCAATAGTGAACTTATTCTAGAGTTCATCAGGCTCAACCCAACTAAATGTGAATGTATATATTCACATAATAAATTAGATGGAAAACGAGTGTTTCTAGTACACTTGTTATATAATCAAAATATATATATATATATATTGTATACATATATAACTAAAAAAAAATGTTTGTATGCATCTACGGATCACTAAAAACTGAAGAAATCTTCATCGTGATGTTGAAATTCTACATGGCACGCATCTTATTGCTCTAATCGACTCAACGCAACAAGAAAGGATCAAATAAGATACCTATTGGAGTTACTTTAGTTTTGGCTTTGAGTGCTCCTTCTTGGAATAAGAAAGAGTTTTAGTTCTTTATTTTTTTCCCTTAAATGTTTTTGTTTTGTTTTGTTTTGTTTTGTTTTGTAGCTTACTTCTTTCTTGAGAAGTTAACGTCAACTTAGCTTACTCATTTCTCTTTGTTAATTTTCTTCTTGTTTAGTGTCTTTGTCACCCTAGAAATCAACACCAACATAAATTCATATCAAATCTACTTCTATTTCATACTCTTATACGAAAATTAGTAAAGACGCATGGTTATAGATACACATATAAACTAGAATATAATATACACCTGAATGAAATTTTTTTTTCTTTTTTTGGGTGAGCTAAATGAAAAGATTTATAGCCCAATCTAAAAAATTTAGCAACTCTATTAGGATGAGAACCAAATCGTAGATCCCAACTATAACGCAAGTTAATAGCCTACAAACACACCTGAAGTTTCTATCTCATTTGAGTTGTCAACTTAAAAAGTCTTTATTAACAATCAAAGCCGATAGCCCTAAATGGCTTTGGCAGGGAAACCTTTCGCTCTTCTCTATCCTTTCTTACTTGCTGCTCTTATTTTAAACTGCCAATGTCAAGAGAGAAAGGTAAAACAAATTCCCACCCACTTCCATCTCTCTATCAAGTAACCAAAAAAAAAAATGTTATGAATATGTATTAATGAAGGTTTTCTTTTCAGTACTACTGATTATTCTAACACTTGCTAAGTTCATGCAGCTTCACATTGTTTACTTGGGAGACCTGCCTCCTCATGATCGAGGGAAAGCATCAGTTATTTCTGGACACCACTCAATTCTGAGAAATGTGCTTGGAAGGTTTTTAATGCACTTTTTTGATACTGCTTCTAATACTAACTACAAACCAACAATAGAAAGTAGAATTAGTAGTTTTATTCTTTCTCGTGGATAAGCAACGAGAAGAAAATGAGGAAAAAATTGCCGGGGTAGTATGACAAAACTGGATTGTTCATTTGTTAGCATGCTTTGCTGAATAAGTGTGCAAGGAGAAATAGAGGTAATGCATGAAAAGACCTTGTGTGTGTGTGTTTTAGGAAGGGATTAGTGACTCAGTTACTAGTTTCTTGGACAAGTAATTCCTGCTGTTTCCGAAATCATTAGTTAGTATTAGTTATTGTTTTACCCTTAATTTCTCGTAACTATCCTCCTGCATTGTATTTAAGAAACAAGAGTTGAATTCTTAGTCACTACATTGATCCTTCTTATTCTTTTGCTCAACTTCAGTGCTTCATTTGCCTAGCAGTCAATAGTTCATAGTTACTGCAGAAGTTTCAATGGATTTGCTGCAATGTTAACCGCAGCAGAAGCTGTGACAATTTGAAGTAAGAAATCATTTGTAGATTGCCCCAGAAAGATATTGAAAAAAAAAAAGCTTTGAGTTTATCCCTTTGGTGCAGAGATGAAAGGAGTGACCTCGGTTTTCCCAAACCGAATTTCCCACCTGCAAACTACAAGTTCTTGGGATTTCATGGGTCTTAGCACTGACAAGATCCAGGATGGACCTTCTTATGAAGCAGACGTGATCGTTGGAGTTGTGGACTCTGGTAAATGAACTTCTCACTCCTGTATCAATTGTTCATTCCTTCTCAATTCTTCAGTTTGAGCTTATTTATCAGGATAATTAGTTGTACTTTTGATCTGCTTCGCTTTTAGGCATCTGGCCCGAACATGAAAGCTTCGACGATGCAAATCTTGGCCCTCCACCAGCTAAATGGAAGGGAACTTGCAAAGCTACTAATTTCACATGCAACAGGTAACCATTTTTATATATGGAGACATCATAATAGGTTCATGTACTAGCAAAATTTTTCAGATTCTTCTTCTTTTTTTTTTTTAAAAAAATGTGGCCGATTAATATAAGTCATATTGGTAATGCAGGAAGATCATTGGGGCTCGTTATTATAAAAGCGACAAAACATACCATAAAACAGATATCACACCACCAAGAGATACAATGGGACATGGTACTCATGTTTCCTCGACTATTGCAGGTCGAAGGATTAAGGGAGCAAGCTATTTCGGTCTTGCAGAGGGTGTTGCAAGAGGTGAAGTCCCCAATGCCAGAATTGCGGTGTACAAAGTCTCCTGGCACGAAGGATCTTCTGAGACAGATATCCTCAAAGCTTCTGATAATGCAACTGCTGATGGTGTTGATATTATATCAGTTTCAATAGCAGCTAGTGATCCATATGACTACTTTGAAAGCGCCATTGCAATTGGGTCTTTTCATGCTATGAAACATGGGCATTTTAGCCTTCAAATGCAGGAGGAAACTCTGGTCCTCTTCCTGTATCTCTCTCCAACTACTAACCATGGTCGCTGACGGTTGCTGCTAGCACTATTGACCGCAAATTCATCACCCCAGTAGTCTTGGGTAATGAACTAGTTCTCAATGTAAAAATCAATATGAGATTTTTGGGTTGTGACGAAGGGAATTAAGATTTTTTTTCTTCCTAACTTTGGTGCACCAATAATGCAGGGACTTGCCATCAATAACTTCGACATCACAGGAAATGGGACATGTACATACCCATTAATCTGGGGCGGAGATGCACCCAACTCTAGTGGTGGTTATGGTCCATATGATGCAGGTTATTGCTTACCTGGTGCATTGAATGCTGCGAAAGTGAAAGGAAAGATTGTCTTCTGCAGTGTTCCCCCTTCAACTACTAACATTCTGGTTCCTACTGCTGGGTACCATCATCGCGCATTCCACAGGATATGACGTTGCCTACAATTACCCATTTCCAGCTTTAGCGATCAGCGCAGAAGATGGTGTCGAAGTTTTGGATTATATCAAAAACAGAGAGTACGAAATTAGCATACTTCTATATTTTCTAAATACCATCTTGACTTAAATTCTGATCTTGGATCCAAACATTACTTAAAATGCATGCAGAAGTCCAGTTGCAAGTATCATGGTTGCTGAAACCAGCTTTAAGGACATCTCGGCTCCAATTGTGGCTTCTTTCTCTTCAAGAGGACCAAACCCCATCTCTGCAGACATTCTCAAAGTGATGCATTATGTGTCTCTATTCATAGCACAATTTTGTATTCAGTAGTCCAACATATGCTATGTTTCATTTATTCATTGATACTACTTACTACCAGCCTGACATCACCGCCCCAGGGATGGACATCCTCGCTGCCTGGTCTCCAATCGCACCACCTACTCCCTATGCCAGTGACACAAGAAGTCTCATGTACAATGTAATCTCTGGGACATCCATGGCGACCCCTCATGCTAGCGCTGCAGCTGCTTATGTCAAGGCTGCTCACCCCGATTGGTCCCCTGCTGCCATCAAATCTGCCCTCATGACCACTTCTTTCGATGTGGATCCAAGGAAGCATCCCGATCTTGAATTTTCATATGGTGCTGGTCACATCAACCCTACACGTGCAATCAAGCAGGGACTAATTTTTGCTGCTGACGAGGAAGATTATGTGAAGTTCCTATGCAAACACAACATCGACAATCTCAGACAGATCACTGGAGAAAATAGCACTTGTAAAGGTATAACTCCCGGAAGAGGCTGGGATCTCAACTATCCTACCATGGCATTGTACCTTGGTGATGGACAGGAAATCAATGCCGTTTTCACCAGAACAGTGACCAATGTTGGCAAACCATCAACCTACCATGCTGCCCTACGCTTACTGCAGTCAAGCATATATAATGCTACGGTGAAACCATCCACCCTTACATTCTCTTCTGTTGGGGGGAAAAATCCTTCACCGTTAGAGTCACTGGACCGAAGATTACGCAGCAGCCAATCACGTCAGGTGCTGTGGTTTGGGCAGATGGTGTTCATCAGGTGAAGATGCCTCTGGCGGTGTACAACTACAGACCTGGTGCTCCTTATGATGATGGACGAGGGGCCTGGACGGTTGTCAGAGACAACCGTCCCAGGCAGTTGACGGCCTGGATGAAGCTAAAAAATTTTGTGCGGCTCAGATCACGTTTTGTAACTCGATTTTCACGCCGTGTGGGACCCACAAAAATGGTGTTTTATTTTACTCGCTGTTGTTCAATTGTTACACCTTGTACAGATGATGTTACATCATGTACACATGGTATTACACCTTCCGGAGCGGTTGTTCTGACAACCGCTCCAGCCCCGCGTCCTATGATGATGCCTGATCACGAAGACTCCAGCAGTAATTTCCCTGCATTGCAGAAAAAAAAAGGATTAATATTGCATGCCGTGGCTGAGAATCTCCTTAAAGGAGTGGAGCAATGATTTGGCTGGGATCTGTTCTCCGCAAAACAAAAATAGTTGTTGTCTGCTAAGTGTCTTCCTGTATTTAATTTAATCATC